GAGCCTGAGGCTGTCTCAGAAATACGTAGAGATGATCATCCGAAAACTACAAATCATGAATTTTTCTAGGGACGAAGCCCAAAAGTTGCAAAAGACCAGCAACAGTGAAGAGAATTCGTCGCCCGAAGAGAATTCGATGCTCAGAAGCACGGGAAGAACCAAGGCGCTAACCAAAATGCTTACTCGCTGAATAATGGATGACAAAATGGAGAGAGCATTGTGTTTGCTGTAGACTGGGACCTAGTTCCGTTCAAACTTTCGAAACGTCCATGTATTCCATTCATCTTCAAGTGAAACTTACTGTTTTGACAGCCACATTTACAATCTGTCCATTCTTTCGTATAACAGTTCCTTTCCTAACTTCACCATATGCTCCTTTTCCAAGTAACCTCCCTACTTGGACATTTGCATGTTTAAACTCCCATCTGCACAGCCCAACACCACGTTTAAGTAAAATTGAATCCTGAAAATATCCAAAATGTCCCTATTGTTTCCAGGGAGGAAAAATAACATGAGCAGGCAGCAAAAGGTAGAAAAGACTGCCCTGACCATAATAATTTCTGCCACTCTGAGACTTCATTTCTGACACTCACTTTTTCAACGAGTAGAGGTTTTGTCTGGTAGTGTTCGAACAGCGAAGCCAATGTATCAAATTGAATTGCTGGATCGATCCACCACTTTTTACTCTTATGCATTATAACAATATTTTTAATCTAAATAGAATATGAATGAAGGAATTCTGAGCGTTCTACTTTAAACAAGTCCACCATACCAGTGCAGCACGTTTTTCAAGTGGTATTAGTTCATTCTTGCTCTGTGGATCTATGAGAACGGATATTACTCGAGATGACGTTTTCGTCCGCTTCTTCTTCGTTGATCCTTTTACATTCGCCTAGAATTTGGACGCTTCATTTCGCATCTCATCTTAACATTAAACCCTTCCTGATGGTCTCGCTCTTGTATGTTTTTTTATATTCTAACCATTGCTTTTCCATGACGCAGTGATGATGTTGCCCTTACACTACACGTAGTGCAACTGATAATTGCTCGCCTCTGCGGGCCGAGCTGAATACGGACATTCGAATGCAGGCGATGAGCCTTGCCTCGGTCCGGCTTATTAACACCGACATCATTCATGTCTAACGATGCCGTATTTAGTCCGAGCCAATCATACGGTATCCGAGGTAGCCGACACTCGCTCGTAAACCTTGGCAGGCGTGAAAGGTATGCGAGGGTCTGCGATGGAAGGACTGCAATGGGGGGCTAACTAGGCTAGTCTGAAAGGCTCGTGATGCAAAGGTGACGCTGAGTTGGAGCTCGCATGAGCTTGCAGAGTTGACTAGTGCGTGGAAAGATCGACATTCACTGCTGCGCAAAAGACGAGATGGGACGGTTGCATGTCAAAAGAATTTAGCCGCGGCTCCGAAGCCGCTTTCTGTGGTGGGCTGGAAACTATGTGGTGTCGCTGAGGATCTCATGATTCAGTGGTTCTTGTCACTGATTACCAAGGGAGGCTCTCTTTGGTTACCGGTCAAAGGCAGTAGTGATGCAGTAGTGTTGGTATTAGTGTTAGAATATGAGGAAAGTTGCTCTGGATTCCGCAGGAAATGCAGAAGAAATCTCAAGCAATTAAATTGGACCGCTCCAGCTATTGCCCCGTGTGCAAGGCGAAAAACACCGTGTATAAAGAAGTCAGTTGTTTCCTCATAATGAGCGTTACGACCCCTTAGGAGATAGTGAAGCTTCCATTTCACACTACTCGCCCTCTAGCATAATTTTCTCTGCAAGGCGAACTTTGAAGGCGTAGTATGGCGTCGGGACACTAGAAAAGGGAGAACGGGAGCAATTTAGCGGCCTAGCCCCTTTAACTTACAACTTTCCCCTGCAAAGGTGGTATCATGTTGCTCATAAGGGCCACTATACCCTTACCACGCAATTTTTTTCATAATCAACGGTCGTCGCGGACCGTTTCTGTTGGATAAAGGTTATTGTCGCTGTCGAGCAACGACTAAACCACTCCTTCTCCACATATGCCCCGTAAATGATGCCGTAAATGGATGCACCGAGCAGACCAGGGCCGATTTCTGGGCTCTACTGGATGAGAATACGGCTGAAGTGCCACCAGAAGACGGTATCATTGTTGTTGGCGACCCAAACTGGTGCGTGGCCGCTACGAATGATGGATACGCTTGTCATAGAGGATTTGTGTGTGGACGATGCTGAGCGAATCCTTAAGGGTCTAGATACGCCTCCTGAACAACTCGTTCTGCCATCTATCGCCTTTAAGAGCGGGACGACACAAATAGACTTTCATCAAGGACTCGTTACAGAGGCTAAGATAGAGTCGTACGAGACGTAGTTGTCACACAGCACAGCACCGCCCGCTGGTCAGCACATTGAAATTTGTGGCTCCCAGGTGTCCTGTTAGACTAAGTGGTAGAGTGTATCCTGGTAGAATCAAGAGGACCAGCTTTTATTCTTCGCGTTTGATTACCTAAATCACAACTGTAGACAGAACCTGGAAAGAATCTCTTTGAATCGATACTCCAGGTCGCCCCCTTCAAACTCGGCACAAAAACCCGGCTAGCGGAGAATCGACAAAGGAACTAGCTGTGGACAACAACATCGAAGAGAAACGAAGGGGCTCTGGCACTTGTTTTTCAAGTGATGTTGACTTTTAATTAAGTTTAAGTTTAAGTAAGCTGGACAACGGGCTGAGTTACCAGCTAGCGAGGACAGCGCGGCAAGGAAGGCTAGACGCGGTGAAATCTACCTATTTTGATGAGGTTAACAAGAAACTGGAGTCGCGCAACAGCGAGCGGCTTCTGTACTAGCCGAATTTCGCCTCTGCCAAACGGAAACGTTGCAGTTTGTTTAGCCTTGATGGCGAGATTGGATCATCTCGGTCTTCCGAGTAATGTGACGATGGCTTGAATATGTTGACTGCATCCCAAGGATTCGTCCATCCGACTGTTTACGGTGGCACACCTACATATTGTCACGTTTGAAAGATATCCGTTCGGAAAGTAGAAGCGAACTGAGGAAGATGAAGGCCAGCAAAGCAACAGGCTTTTCACAACGCTGGTTTTCTACGATGCATATAACCTTCCTAGACTTAACATTTGATCGTTTGCCACTGTAAGGCTCTGTGCTTTTTCCGCTCTTTTCGTTGTCGCCATGGATTTCATCATACGAGATCTTTGGACCGGAGTTACTTGAATGCTACTGTACACTGATGAATGTGAAGACAGTGACACATTACACATTACCAGTGCAAGCTTAGGCCGATTGCCTGGGGACTTTTGCTCTGAGGGTGAACATAATATCGAGTACTTGACAACCAATCCGAATATGCTAGGACTCCATAAAGATCTGTTGCGAGCTCAGGGGTACTAACACATTGACAGTATTTCGGATCAGCTAGTTGCATCAGAATCTAATCTAGAAGTGTGAGCGCATAGCCGGTGAGTGCGCATGCTTTATGGCAATGCATGTCTTGCACTTCCTCTACGGTAAGAAATGGTAGAGCGCTTAAGCTGAGGTCTGTTTAGAGCTGTCATTTGGGCGCCGGTCGCTTTATATGGCGCTTCAGTCTGGCTTGTGAGCAACTGAAGTTGATGCTTGCTCGGAAGGCGAAAGCGTTCACGCGATTGGATTTTAGCCTGTCATACGAAAGAGGTTCGTGATAGTTCCATATTAGAAAATGCGAGAGCAGAGGCAAATCGGCGAAAATCCGATGGCGACGCTTGCCACATTACTCTCTGCCACATATCTCTCGCAGAGGCTGACACCGTTCATGGAATGGTCCCCACCTCAAGGTACCCGAAAAGCGGTCAAAATGGCGCGGCATTCATCCCGATCAGGCTCTCCATCGGAAAAAGTGGCGTCATCATATCAGCAGAGTGTGGACCCCGCCACCGAGTGGGACAAGCGCCGAAGAGAAGAAGAAGTGGTGATACCTGTGAACTCAAAGACACATTCCATAGCAGCTGTGCGGCAAGCTTGGAAAAAGGAGGTTCAGGTGCAAAGTGCAACCTCAGAAGAAAATTAGCCGGTAGAAACTAATAAGTCAGAGGAATCGTTTTCGAGATTCTGGTTGCTGTGCCATTTTGAAACTAAGAGCGTTGGGTGGTTGAAGCAAGAGATGCAATTTCATTCATCAGTTCCTCTCTAATAGAATCAATGCGATGGAGCTACTCTTCAAGGGCAAGAACACAAGTTCAGTGGATTAGTCGTCTACATTAAGGTGCTTCCGTCGTCCGCGCATCGAAGTCAGCCTCCGCATTCGACCTGTCCGCGGGGGCATTGCTTATTCGGTGGTCTGGTCCGCGGTCTCTGAGATTGTTTGACCTCGTCGACTTCACAGTACGCCACGAGGGCGCTAGAGCCCTCACAATTGGCAGTTACGACGTCCTCTAAGTTGTACCACCCACCAAAAACGTCCTCTTTTTACACCTGACGCCACGCACCCACTTGTTG